ATCCTTCAAGGTTTCAGCAAGCTTTGGGTGGAGCCTCCTGTTTCTGGGAGCAGATGAGCATTGCCAAGCGCTGGTGAGGAATTCTTTCCTTGCTGCCTCTGCTGTGGTAAGGAAAACCCTCTCTATGAGGAGCTGAAAATCCTCCCTTTGCCAGAAGGGATCCCTTAAAATGCAGTAAAATATCAATTTAGGAAACATTCACAAGAGCATGTAGGGGACAGGACAAGGGGGAATGGGTTAAATTGAAAGAGAGCAGAATTAAATTAGGTATTAGGAAAAAAAATCTTTCCTGTGAGAGGGTGAGGCACTGAGATGGGTTTTCCAGAGAAGCTGTGGCTGCCCCTGGAAGTGTCCCAGGCCAGGTTGGGCAGGACTTGGAGCAGCCTGGGACAGTAGAAGGTGTCCCTGCCCATGGCAGGGGGTGGGATGAGATGATCTTTGAGGTCCCTTCCAACCCAAACCATTCTGTGATTCTATAATTTATATCCCATCACAGAGAGCCGTTAATTTCCCTTAATGATTGAATGTGGCATTAGATCATATCTATTACAGGAAATATATATATATAATATATATTATTAGCATAATTTATCATACTCAGGAGTCATGCATCCATTGCATCTTCTTAATGTACATCAGGAGTTCATTTATCAGAATTTTATGTACAATTGATTCTCCTAGCAGAAACAGGAAATTCAGATTATGATCTTCAGCATGTTCAATCCACACACCCAGAGAATACTTCTTTTTTTCAGTTGTGCACCTTGCCCAATTATTTGTTGATTGGAGGGAATTTTTTGAGGAGAGCATTTTTTAAGACATAACCAGAGATGTCTCTTTTTCTCTCTTCTAAGATATTTAACAGGGTTTGGCAGTGATTAAAACACTTCATTGGAAATGGGTCGTTAGGAACATGAAGAGATACTTTTAATGCATATTTAAAGCATGCAATTAAAAAAGTAAAAAAAAAAAAAAAAAAAAAAAAGATAGAGAGCATTTCCTCGTTGACCAGAGTGATAAAAGACTTTAAAATGTGCATGAGGGTAAAAATGGTGGAAATTCTGGGTTTTTCTCTCAGGCTGAGCACACAGCCGTGGCACATGAACTTGATGTTCAAGAAAAATAAAACTCTTCATTTTCATCCAAAAGGACACAGAATGCTGGATGTAGATAATTACAATTTATTAATTTTCTTAATGTTTTTGCATTGTTGCTTTCCATTAATGAGGGATATAGTGAACTGCCTCTGAAATAGAAAGATAACAATTGGTATTTCTTTTGCATTTCTGCAAATCCCAACCTTGACAGCAAAGGTGTATTTCTTATGAAATAACACCAGTTTTTAGAAAATAACAGTTATCTTCAGAACTCAATCCATTAATCCATTTCCTTTTATCTCCTCTGTTTAACACTGTGCAGGTTTATTTCTAAATATTTTTAGGAGGTTAATCTGTTACAAAAAGTTTAGGTGACAGACTTGGGTGGAAAATCCTCCCTGCTGCATGGGAAAAGAGAAAAAAAAGGGATAAGAAAAGAAGTTCTAAGAAATTCTCCAGCTGTTGAGAGCAGCACAGCCTTGACAAAAAGAGCAAACAGGATTTCTTATTTCAGAAAAGGATTGAAAGATTATCGTGGAGCCAATGAGGGAGCCCCTTTTACACCCTGAAGGGGCAAAAATTAAGTAGTTTATACACCTCTGCCTTTGAAAGGAGAGGAAAAAAGTCCCTTTAGAGCTGTAGATTCAATGCATTGATTTTTCTCAGCCTTTGTGATTAGACACAGAGCTGGGTGAAGAATCCAAGCAACAAAATCTGCAAAAAACTGGGGGGTGGTCTTTGAAACAGAAATAAGAGAGACTTTTCTCCCAGCTCTTGGGGATATCATAAAGAACTCAACATTTTCAGCCCTGCACAGAGCACTGTGAGGGTCAGTCCTGATTTATAAAGGAGTTATTGTGCTGTTCCTCCGATTTTTTATTTGAAACATCTTCAGTAATTTTATGTTCTGCAGTAACAGGTTAAAGTCTGACTGTGCCTAATTATTGATTTGTACTTCCCCAGCTGAACAAGGCCATGGGGAGCTCAGGGGGGATTGAAAGGAAAAGCTGACAGTGGATAAATGAGGAACTTTTGCAATATTCCCCACTCTCCCCTCTTCAGGGCACTGAAGAGTCTCATGGGGAGGCTTGCCCAGCTTCTTTCACCCAAAAATTGATTCCAAATGGAGAGGTCACAGTGGCAAATCTCAGTGAAAGAGAAAATATTGAGAGAAATCTAGATCTTAGCAGGGGTATGTGACTCAGGGGTGGAACTGAAAGACTTTTTTCAGTTTGGAAGAGAGAGTTTGGAAAAAAAAACAGGAATAGAAATTTGTCTTTTGATAACTCTGCCATTGCAAGATTATTTAAATGTAATGTAAGAATGTTAATTAATAATATAAATAAGCATTGATTAATATTTGAAAACCTGTACTTGACATGCAATTAACACAAATTGCACAGGCAATTATATGGGGAGTCAAATTATTTAGCAATTTTAAAGCTATTTATCTTCTATGCTAGACTTCTCTCTGAATAATTAAGCCAAATTATGGTAGACTGTTTCATTTATATTAACTTAATATTTGCTTGCTAATATAGTAACAATTACAGTCAAGGTACCTCCAGTCCCAAGCAAGTCAGGGCTAATGCTAAAATGGAATTCCATAGCTCCAGATTTTGGGGAGCTCAGCATATCCTGAGTGCAGCTCGGATGGAATCACAGCAGCACTGAGCTCTGGAATGAGACTTCATTCACCCCCTGAGTTCTGGGCTCTTTGCTTTTATCATGGCACACCTATTTTTACTGCTTTTCCTCTCTGTTCTGTTATTTTCTCTCTCTCTAGCTCTGATTCTTGCTCGGGATTTCAATCCTAGTTTGCACATCAACTCCTGTGTGTGCTGAGAGCTGGAGCCAAGAGGCTGCTCCTGCCTCTGGGGCCTCACCTGCAGCCCAGGGGCCAGAAATCAAAGTCACAGCTTGTGAAACCAAGCGTGGGCAGACACCTCTGCAGCCCTTCCTGCAGCATCTGGAAATCCACAGCCTTCCCCTCTCCCTGTGTGGAGCCTGTACAGCGTGTCTGGTGGGACATCTGTGCTGAAACTGAGATCTGCTGGGTCTGGGGACACTGGGACCAGGGTCTGCTGGGTCTGGGGACACTGGGACCAGGGTCTGCTGGGTCTGGGGACACTGGAACCAGGGTCTGCTGGGTCTGGGGACACTGGGACCAGGGTCTCCTGGGTCTGGGGACACTGGAACCAGGGTCTGCTGGGTCTGGGGACACTGGGACCAGGGTCTGCTGGGTCTGGGGACACTGGGACCAGGGTCTGCTGGGTCTGGGGACACTGGGACCAGGGTCTGCTGGGTCTGGGGACACTGGGACCAGGGTCTGCTAGGTCTGGGGACACTGGGATAGCTCAGGACAGTGCCACAGACTGGCTCATGGAGCCCTGAGCTCGACCTGACCGTGCCTCAGTGTTGTGCATTGAACAGACACTCCAGCATTGCAGATTCCAGACTGCTCTGCAGTCCCTGGGATTTAGGGAACCTCGTGGCTTCAGTTCAGGATGGCTTTTCTGTGTGGTTACTCCATCAGTGCTCAAGAATGAAGTTCAGCAAGAGCTGAAGTACTTCCTAGATAACAAAATTTGCTTCAGGGATATTTCTCTTTAATATTATTAGCAATATTTGATATTAATCATAAAGGCAGGAAAGGGAAAAGCAGAGCTGCTGGATTATAGACCTTTTTCTTTGCACTCTCTGAAACTCTTTTTTTACTCAGTGATTTGCACTGAACTTCTTACACATGTAAAGCTCCAGGTAAACATAATTGAAGGAATTGTCTCATATCACAAAAGGTTTAAGTTCCCACTGAAATTTCAAAGCAATTTAGCTGTATGCTTTTTTTCAAAACATTTCTAACACGCAACACTGAAGGAACATCAATTCCTTTTAAGAACAGGGGAGAAAAATTTCTGTTAGAGGTGGGGAAAAGATGCTTGGGATTTGCTTCAGTAAGCAGGTTTCAGGCTGCTTTTTGGAACTCCTGCTCCATTCTGTGGATTTGGGAAAGCTTTGGTTATTCAAAAATGTTTCACAAAAGATGATCAGGAAAAGTACATATGGATTCTGCACAGCACTCTGTGTCTGAGATGTTTCCAGAGGGGACAATGATTCCATGGAAAGGGTCTGAGATTTAACAGTCTCCAGTGTGGCTGAAGAGCATCAGAATTAAATTATTTTCTCCAGCCTGGTTTTCCCATGACTCCAGAATTCTGTGTGTATTTGTTTCCAGTGAAAGCTACTTCTGTCATTTTTGTTTGGAGGGTTTTCTTTCATGTATGCCATTAGCAGAGGTTCCTCCAAGTTTTAAACCACCCCTAACATTTATCAGCTTCCTCACTAGAAATGTGCAATAGTTTTTGTTGTAAAGGAAAACTTTGTCATATTTTTATTCTGATAAAATTGTAGTGTTTATTTGAGTTTCTCTGAGAGTTGCTCTCCAAAATTCCCCTGTCCAGACACTGACCTCTAAGACACTTTTTCATCAAAATTTTTCACTGTAAATTGCCCTTCTGGTTGCCTTATTCTTCTTCCCCCTCCTGAAGGCAATGCAGTAGTCATTACACAATTTAGGAATATTATACTAAACCAGCTGTGGGAGTATTGTACTGAACCAATCTTCCTGCTGGTTCCACTGCCTTCATCCTCCTCCCCTTGAATTACACCCTGGAACTAGTGAAAGTGTGAATGAGCCTGCACATCCAGCATCAGCCTCACCATCCCATAAAACATTTCTGATTTGCAGCTTTCCCTGCACTTCTCCAGGTTCCCTGCACTTCTCCAGGTTTATCTTCACTGCTGCAGTGTCAGAGGTGGGAAGGGTGGCTCGCAGAGCAGCCAGGGAACAGCAGCAGGGACAAAATCCAGCCTTGGCTTTTCCAGCCCTGTGGTCTGGCTTGAGAAGGGAAATCTGAAGGGATGGGCCTGCACTGCATCCTCACACAAAATACACAAGGGTTTAGATTTATTTGAAGTCTCTAGTGGGTGACCATTCTCTGAAATTTTTTTCTTTGTTTCAAGAAGCATTTGAATGATCCCAGATCCACTTTTAGGCATCCAAAAGCTTCATTTCCAGGGAGCCTGCATTCATCTTTGGGCCATTTTATGACTCACTGAAGGTTATTTCTCTGCCCTATTGTTTCAGAGCCCAAGCATATTTGCCTATATCTTCTGCAGCCCAGCTGCTATATTTGCAACCAGACATAAATGGCTACATTAGAACTTTTGATTCCAAATCAAAGCAAAAAAAAGTCTGAGCTTTAATCCCCCATCCCTGCAGTGGGAAAATCACGAACTGCTTTTATCCAGAACCTCTCTGCTTACACACAGGCACTCTGCACACCTCTGGCAGAGTGTCAGAGCTGATTTCTCATTGAAAAACTCAGCTGTTCCCTCACCCTGTGCTGCTCTCAGGAGCGAGGAGCCTTCCCTGGGTGACCAAAGGCACCTTCACAGCAAACTCAGGCCAGGCTGTAATCCTGCAGCAGGCTGGTGCCATCTGTAACCCCATCCCCAGCCTCTCCTCGTGCACTTTCTGAAAGCAAAATGCTGTAAAACATTGAGAACATCCCCGCGTGTCTTGCAGGCCGCCCTCCTTGCAGGCCGCACTCCTTTCAGCTGCAGGCCCAAGCTATGTAAAGGCTTGGATGAACAGCACTGAAGCTCAGCTATATTTAGGTCTCAGCATGTTCATGTTTCTATTTGTTGCACAGCCCTGAGGAATTCTTCAGAGAGCTTTTCATGGCATTTCTGTTGCCAGGGAAACGCCTCATCATGCGTGTCCTGAATCCGCACAACCTCCAGCTCCTCTCCAGACGGAGAAACCCATGTAGCATTCAATGAGGCAGGGACACAACAAAGAAATATCCTTCCAGGGAGGCAGGTCATCACAAAGAGAGGGAACTCAGCTTGTGGCATCTCTCCTGGGAATCCAGATTATCCCACAGCTTCGTGTTGGCTGTGCTGGGACAGCACCGACATCGTGGATCCGCTGAGTAAGAACTTTGGATCTGCTGTGCTCGCTGTCCTGGGGCGGCACAATCTCTGTGCTCAACCATCCTTCACTTGAAAGCCTTGAGAGAGCTGAAAAAACCCTAAACTGGCCAGGAGTGAGTTATTTTTTCCCCCCCTCTCCCCACAGGCTTTTGCTGTATTAGAAAGCCGCCATCCTGCCAAGTGACAGTCATGGGAAGTGACAACTCCTCAGAAGATTGAAGCATCTGTCTCACTTGGTCCGTGCCCCCTCGCGCCAGGAGAGAGCCGACGTGACATGATCAGAGCAGAAGTTTGGACTGAATCTTTCACAGTCTGTTAGCACAGGCAGGGATGGCTCTTGGAGGGGTTTTTTGGATTTTTTATATTTTTTTGTGAGGATTCCACACGGTCAGCTCGGGGACCAGGGTGGGGGCAAGCGGAGCAGGGAGAGGAAGATGAAAGGATGAATATTTGCATTTTCAAATGCTTTTCCTCACTCCTGAGCAAATGTAGGTCAGCTGCAGGATCCCTTGCCCACAGGGCTGATAGGAAAAGGTTTTTCTGATGCTGCCTTTCCCTGGTTCACAATCTGTGCAGTTTTTTCTGAAAGGAACATCCAGCTGCTTTAAGCTGGCTCACAATGAGCTAGATTAGGGCAAACTGGGGTATCTCATTATTTCTTTCTGTACTTAGTTGGCTTCTCATCCTTTTTTTGCTCTCAGTTTTCTCAGAGTTCAGTCTTTTGGGCAGTCATGGATTGTACACATTTTCCCACAGAAACCTGTGAATCCTGGAGATTTTTGCTGACTTTTGAAATGCTATTTTTTATTCTCATTTTTTCCTATTCTTAAGTGCCAATCTTGTGAATTCTCATTCATTTTGGTGAGAGTTTTCTTTCAGGGATAGTGTCAGACCACTTCTCCCCCTGAAGGAATAGCTGCTGGGCAGCAGCTGAAGTTTTGACCTTCTGAGAACTTTTTAGAGGGCATAAAACTCATTTCCCAAATCAAAGCCTGTGGTGGTGTCCAAAAGGAGTGCCCATGATGAAATATCCTTTATGTGAACAGAAACAATTTGTGTTTCCCAAGTTAGGCTCGAGGTCTTATCTTGAAATGCTTCTTTTCATACCCAATAGTCGATTCAATATGTTGGTCGGGTTTGTGTTTAAAGGCAGAGACATTTTTATAATATAGGCACAAAGATCAATGCAAAACTATTTAGGTAACTGGAAATTTGCAAAAGAATTCATTGAAATTTTCATCCACTGCAAAGAAAACCTGATTCAATTGCTGATGAAACCTTTGTGCTTCATCCTTCTAAGAGAGAATGGTTGAGCAGGTGGAGGTAATGAGAATCACACTTTTTAAGAGGATAAGCATTCACTCATTTATATATTGTTTTGTCCTTCAGTTAAACTGAAAATGAGTACTCCTTTAAAGTGTCAAAAAGCAGAAAAATTTAACGTTTATTCATTTTTGTGTCTGTTCCTATGCCTTTACAAACAGAGCCTCCACACCTGAGGGAAAACTGCAAAAAAAGAGTAAACTGGAAGTGCCACAAAGTTTCATAACATTATTTAAGAAATATCCAACAATTAATTCATGGTTCAGGAGGAGGAAAAGGAAGGTGTTATGTGAGGAAACAGAGGGAAGTCCCAGCACAGCACAAAGATTAATGTCTATAATGTCACACATTACAGATTTTCATACTGCCCAACTGAAGCCACAAAGGGTCGTGCCAGGGTTATAAAAAAGCCTCATTTACAAGAAGGACCAAAAAGAGCATGGGATCTCTGAGAATGCTGCCTCAGACCCAGGAGGGTCTGAAAACCAGAGGTTTTTCTTCTGGGATTCAGAAGGAAAAGGTTTAAGCTGTGTCTGGGATTCATCAGTGCACAGTGCTCAGATTGTCAAGGCAGGAGCAGCTCTCAAATCGCTTCCCAACCCCTTTCTTCCAGCCACGACCACACTGGAAGGTGAAACTTCAGATTATCAGTGCAGAGAACATCGTAGGTTGTCTTTGATAACAGCATAATAGGGGAACAGCACAGAAATAAGTGGCAATAATTATACATTTCCTTTTTTTCGTCTTTCAAAGGTCAGATTAAAGTCACAGAAAGAAAGTTTCACAAGGAGACAGAGAGAAGAATCACTTCTGTGGCTTGAGAAAACGTTAAATCCGTCTCTCTTCATGTGTGATTTTATGAGTCTTTACACCTCTGTTATAAATTACACATACAGTTGAGCTTGGAATTAAAAGTAAATCTAATTTCCACAAAGACCTGGCTGTGATTTGGGGCAGTGAAATGCTGGAGAACTACAAACAGCAATCCTGGCTAACATGGGAAGGGATTTTCCTTCACCTGTTCTTTCAGTACAGATGAAGATAAAGATGAAATCATTTCTTCCCAGGACTACAGGAAGTACAAGTTGTAGATTCCAGAGGAAAAGTTGTTTTATTTCAGCATGGAAGGGGTGACAGGAGCAGTGAAAGGATTCTGTGACACAGACAAAAAGCAACATTTTACATCTGCATTTCTTTACAGGGGGAAAAAACCTTGTGAGATAAAAACCAAAATTACTGCTGGTTTCTCTGAAAAATTTAGTCCACAAACTAAATGTTTTTTAAAAATTTAAAATTTTTTTGTTAAAATAGTGGCTTTTAAAAGGAGCCACTTTGTGCATGGTCTGTGGTGGAAGGACAAGGAGTCTGATCCAGCTGTGGCTCCCAGGTGTCCCCACTGCTGCTCTGCACCATCACTGCACTTCTGTCCCTCTCACCATTCATTTTTTAAGGAATTTCAAGTTTTCACCATTGATTTTTGCCTTGCAAACAGGGCAGGAACATCCCTGCAGGGTTTTGCACCTGCATCATGCTCAGTGAAAAAAAATAATGTTGATTGATTAAACAACAACAACAACAACAACAGCAAAAAGAGATTGAATATTTCCGTAGCTGTTCTATACAATGGTAGAAATACATAAATACCTGACACTGTGCTTCTCTTCTTTGTGTGCTATTAATGTGACATGTAGCAATTTAACATTTAGCACAGCTTTTAATTTTAAAAATCCTGTTAAATAAACTTCTAAAGAAAATGTGATTATATGATATGGGTTTTCAAAATTTTCTGACACCAGAGATATCAAAAAGACATTTCAACATCCAGTTTCAATTGTGAGTTGCTGTTAAAACCTATGATTTCAACAACAACAAAAAATCCTATGAAGAAAGGGGGTTTGGGTTATTTCAAACTTACATTTTGAGAAGGGATTTTTTTCAAGCTTCTGAAGCAATGTTACCATTAGAATTTTTGATACCAGTAATATTTCTGAATTCTGCTACTCCTCAGGATGACATTTTCCACAGAAGCCACAAATGTGAGGCTTTAATGACAACATCAATAAATTAAAGACCAGAGAGAATCACATCACAGGAGTCAGGAGAAGTCCAAATTTTCATTTGCATTCAAGATTTTTATCCAGACTTTCCTAAAATATTTGCAGAGCTTACATCTGTACATTGCCTAGCCCCAGATTTCTAACAAACCAAACAATATGAGGTGTTTGAATTTGGGATTTTGGTTCTGTCCTGTTAAAGATTAAAATATTTCAACAATGCCTTTGCTTGTTCTTTGTTCTTTGGGCCTGGGTCACTGCTCAAATATTGGGATCTGTACAGGAGGATAACCTTTGGTCCCTGGAGCCCACAGCATGGGATTGACAGTTTATTATGCTGTCACTGAGAGAATTTCAGGGGAAGAGGCTTCACTCATCTTCTAGAAAAGCTCCTCTAATATAATTATAACTATTAAAACTAACAGGTGCCGTAATCATTAATCTTCTGTGGATAATATTGTAGCCCCTTTTTTGGGTGTTGGAAAGACAAATCTCGATTAAATGTATTTGTTTGTTAATTTTTTGACATGGATTGATTCAAGGTCAGAGAGACCTGGCAGCAAAGGAGATTTAAGCTGCCACGGGGAGCGGCTCAAAGGAGCTAAAATCAAACAGGGGTCAGCACTGAGTGATCTCTGAAATTAAGCAAAGGCAGCAGGGGAATGAAACTCCCCTTGGAGCAACATTTGAAGCCTTGAGCTCCAGAGGTTTCCTGTCTTTGGAATGCCTTGACACAGAGTCTGCCATTCCATCAAATTGTGTCTGCCACCACCGATGGCATTTTCCTCCCATTCATTCCCAACTGCACCTTTTGGTGGTGGGTTTTGGTGAAGAAGAAAGTCTGCAGTGGTCCCCACATGGTGCTCAGTGCACAAATTGTGTTGATGCAAACTCATAAGTGAAACTTTAGTCACAATAATACTTCATAAGTGGATCTAAGAACCTTAAAAATCATCTTTGCTCCTTTGCCTCTTGATTAAGTTTTCTATTGAGAGGTTCTGAAATTGTGCCAAATTAGACTTCTACTGCAAAGATAATTTTTGCTTTCCAGTGTAGAGGGTTTCAGGTTTTTTTCCACTTCCAGTGCTTGACATACCTAAAATATGATCTTCCATCTTAATGTTTTTTTGAGATGCCACACATTCAGCTGTAGTTTCACAGTCACTAAATCAAATTTCAATACCTATTTTCTGCTTTTCCACTGAGCCTTACTGTCCTCTCCTACTGAGGGTGGATGTGGAGTGGAAGAGGAAAATGTGTTTTAGCTCAGTTTCCAGCTCTGTTCTGGTGGCAGCCGAGGTCCAGCACGAGCACTGCAAACCAGAGCATCCCTCTGCTCGGAGCGGTGACACGCTGCCAGTGTCCTCAGTGAGTGGCAGCTAATTCAGGTAGAAAACAGCATTTTTGTCAGGCTTTTCTGCACAAGTCTTTCCAGTTTCCGCTGTGTTGAAGCTCTCAGGAGGATGGATCCTACTGGTTTCTGTCACACAGCCAGGGACCAGCTCTGACGGCTGTGCTCCGACAGTGTCACCCACAGAGAGGTGACAGCGGTCGAAAACACATCCAGGCGGGTAGAAAAATGCTTTTCAATGTATTTTTTTCAACATTTATTCCTTTCAAACCGAGGAATTTGAAGCTCTGAGATGCCTCAGTGAAGGGTTTTTTTCATTTTCTTAGAAGACTGAGGGTGTTTTGTGATTTGTGTACACGTGTGAGGACAGAGGAGAGGCCTTGGGTGCCTGTGACTCGCCTTTATTTCTTTCCCTCAGCTTCATTAGTGGGGAAATTCCACAATTGCAAACTGAACTGGGCTTTGAAGAGTCATTTATCAGAGATGTCACCCCTTGGCTCTGCATGGCCAGTTTTACACGGGTTAAAGTAAAATGCTGCTTTTAACCAAGTGCTGGGTGTGCTCAGAGTGGAAGGTGCTGAGGGAAACACAGAGCAGAGGCTGCAGGAGACACCAGGGGTGCAAAGTGCTCCGGGTTTCTTCTGAGGGGCTTTATGGGATTTGTAGTTTCTCCTACATTAAATATGGCCAAAGCTTCGTGGAGGATGCTCTGTTTGAGAGCAGCCTCGCTGCCTCCACTCCTTCCAAGTGTTCAGATGTTTCTGTCAGTTCAGAAAAACACAAGCCAAGGCTTCAGTTCTTTCTGCTGCAGAATAAACCCGTTCTTGCCCTTTTTCTGCCATTTGAGCCTCATTTCTGACACTGCACTGATTTCTGAAGCTGCAGGTTGTGTTCTGACAGGGTGATGCTTGCTGTTAATTGAGCATTGAGAATTCCTGGAGTGCTGTGGAAACAGAAGAGTGCAGAGCACGCAGAGGTGCCCACAGATCTGCTCTAAAATGGAGTTAAAAAGAGGAAAATACATTAAATCAAGAGCTGACACTTTTTGGAGCAAAGCACTTGCTTTAAGCAGGTCACCAACCCCACAGGGGTCAAGTGCTCTGCTGGATCAGAGCTTCAGAAAGTTTCACAGCTGAATTTGTCCTGTGGAGGCACTTGAGCCAAGAGAGGAAGAGCTTTTAAGCAGAGGCTGCTTGGAGAGGGAAAATGAGGAGAAAGATGCAAAGGAAACAAGCTGGAGTCAGGCTGGTGCAGCAGCATCAGAGCAAGGAATTTAACTCTGGTGTGGAAACAGCCAAAGAAACGAGAATGAAACATTGCCAAGATCACAGAGAGGGGGGAAGAAGCATTTTGAACAAACTGGGCTGAAAACAGAAAGGGTGAATGGGAGGGGCAGCAGCAAAAGGAAAAAAATCTTTAATTTTTCACAAATGCCCTTGTCACATCCATTGGGGTTCTGGCAAAAGGAAAAATCGACATCTTTAATCAATTTTAACCCCACTCTAACACAAACACAATCAGCACTGAAGCATGCCAATATAAATTGTATCACCATATAAATAAGGTATATTTTTCTGTATTAAAAGAAATATTATATGGTAGTGGAATTGTCTGCATGAAGAACCAGCTGCTCAGTAAAAAGAATAAAATAACAGACTGTATATATGGAATTAAAATAAATAGTGCTGCCTTGTGCATCTGCTTCTTTTAGAGCAGTAACATGAGCTGAGGAGTTTATGCTGCAAAATTCTCTTAACTGGCACAGTTAAGAGAAGATATTTAGGATAGTTAAGTGACTGTCCTGCTCCCAACCCCTCATTTAGACCCTTTATTGGGAAAAACTTCATCATTCTTGCCCAGGTTGCGGTTTAAATGGGCACAGTGCAAAATAATGAGCAAAACAACGGTGCACAGGGGGCAGGAAAAGCTGCCAACAGAGTGTGCAGGAACTTTAATGCTAGGAAAGAAAAAAAACATCAGACAAGGAAGAAAATACGTGGATTTCTACCTGCTCAACATGGCTGTGAGTGGCTCAAAGCTTGCCTGCTACTACTATTATTATTCTTGTTATTCTTATTCTTATTCTTATTCTTATTCTTATTCTTATTCTTATTCTTATTCTTATTCTTATTCTTATTCTTATTCTTATTCTATTTTCTTTCATTGTGCCACTTGCTACCTCTGTAATTTCCTTGAAGAGAAGGGCACAAATGAGTCTTTTGGGTCTTTTGGGGTGAGGCTTGATTTATCAGGGTTTGGGGTTTTTTTCAAAGTGGGAGCAAAATGAGTAATCCCAGTGCAGATGTCCTGAATTTACTGTCTCAGATGCAATAAAAGCCCTGTTGCTGCTAAAATGCCACCCAGAGATGGCTCTAAAGCACCAGTTTGGAACATCTCATGAAGATTCCCTGACTAACTCAAAGGCACTGATTCAGACTGAGAAGACTAAAGCAAATTTAGAAATTAGAGCCAAAGTGTCTACAAAAAAGCCTTTTTTTTTCACAATGGAGCAACCAGCAGTGAAAGCAGCCAGGGCTGAGTGTTGACAAGAAGGTGTCATTCCCAAACCACCTTGGCTATGAAAATCTGGCTGAGGCTTCTGGGAGGAGAGAATGCCCCTATTTTTATCCTCAGAATGTTGTTTGCTCTATGAATGGAGTTTCAGCCATCAGCAGGAGGAAAAGCCAAGCTGAAAAATCCCCTCCTCCTTGGAAACAACACCAAATGTCCCCACTGGCTTCTTTTACATCTGATTTCCACCTGGTTTTCATTCAGTTTTCACCCTGCAGTGGGAGACATGGGTGCTGCAGTGTGAGGTGGATTAGGCTCTCCATTTCAACTTGTTAAATTACAACTTCAGAAGATTTGGTCAGTTTGAAATAGATCCTTCCACTTTGTTAAGTACCAAATCCTCTCTGTTATTTCAACATCTGCCCAAGTTTTGTTCCCCTTGGCTGCTGAATCTCCCACCCTCCTTTTTATCCTTTTCATCAGTGGCCAAATGAAATAATATTTTCCACTGATGATATTTCTCTCAGCAGTTTTGCCAGCCCTAGAGTCTCACCTCATTTCAGAAAAGAATAAAACACTACTGATTCACAGACTACTTGGTCTCAGAGGGTTTCTAAGATCTTTTCCTTTCACATGACAAAAATTACAGCAGGAAACAAAGGGAACAGTGGTGGAACAACCCTAAAAGGGTCCCAGCAGCTGAGCTGGAAGGTCCAAATCCCAGAGGAACTCATTTGGGCATCTCTGTGACTAAATTACACCTGAAAAAGGCACCCCAGCACCCCTGTGCTTCTGCACTGCTCTGTTAATTAGTTTAGCATCAGTTTTTTTCTGCTGAGGGAGGGATGGTGGGTGGGAAACTGTGGGCAGAGCAATGTGCAGAAGGGAGAAGCCAATCTTAAGGTTTGAAAGAATAGAAAGAGAGAAGGAAGAAATAAAAAATAAAAGAGCCAGTAAAGACAAAAAAAAAGCAAAAAAAGCTGTATTATAAAACTGCAACAAGGAAAATAATTATTGATTATGGCAAGGAGTTACCATTTTTTGGGGGATCTGTAAAAACTTGCTCTGTGGTAATTTTCTTCTTTTCCTTTATGTGAAATGTGGATAAAATGCAACTATCACTGGATAAGAAATGGTCTTAATGTCAATATTGATTACTGGGGAGCTCATCTTTCCTCATCCCTTCAGGGGAGGTATCACAGAAACTTGCTCTGCACAATTACCTCAGGTAACAAAACGATGTGTGGGTAACAAAAACAAATGTCAGCCCCTCGGCACGGAGTTTCCAGCTGGAAGCACAGATTTCCAGCTGGACAAACCATTGTCAGCACCTTCAAGAGCTTCCTCAGGTGGAATGATG